ATTGAATATAAAGACCACTTCAAGCTTCAAACAAATAGCTATTTTTGTGAATATAATACCTGTCAAACTTGAAATAAAAGTATGCTTTGCCATAATGAAATACAAATAATTAAAGCAATTTAAAAATGTCTTCTCCATTTTGATGAGGGGAAGGGTGCTTTTATAATTGCATAAAGCAATGTATGTATTTTGATATACCATTGTTTGAACTTCCCATCTTTAGCTGATAATTTATCAAATATCTTCTTTATAATTTGGCTGTTCAGTAGGTTCATGAAAGAGGGTTTTGAGAAGAAGCAGTCTAATTTTAACCTGGGGAATGGGGGAATGAGAAAATACTGTATATCAATGTTTGGTTGACTGTGTAACGCTCAGCATATAAGATCTTTCACTGTCTAAATTTTACTTTTGCTCTTTACTGAAGATAAACATTCACCAAAAATTAACTATTCTGGAGCAGGTAGCATTATTGCCATCACAATTTGTTCTAGAAATTTCAGGCTAGTTCACAAACTTGCCTAAGCATACTAAGATTTAGTAGTATTAATTTGTTTGGCTTCCTTCTTATCCCCATGTTATGTTTTATACAAGTTATGTATTAAATTATTGTTAAAACAAATACATCCCAAATAAAGTGTACAAATAAAAAATAGTTTTGGTGATTGTTACTCTTCATAAAGTTCAGTGTTACCTATCTTCCCATGTTCTCCAGAACCTTATGCCTGTACATCAGGAATGTCAAAAGAATATTACAAGTGTCTTCTTTTGTGTGGCTTTAGTATGGCTTCATTTTAATATTGTACATACATTGTACTTTGTTTTATTGTAATGAGTAATAAAAATGTAGACTTCATATTTTGTACAGAATGGTCCTATGTACAGAATAAAACATTCCTAGAAATAGCAAAAAAATAGGTAAGTGGCACAATTTTTCTTTATACCTGTATCTTTATGCTTTAGTGGAATGCTATGTTAATGTACCAACATATTTTTAATATTTTGTAATTTGGATTTTTTGTTCAAACATTGTTTATGGAAAAACTTCATACACCTGCCATTTAATATGCTCTTTTATCTAGTTTTTAAATTCTACAAATGGTGTATTCTATGGATTAAATAAAGAAGAAATGGAATTTTATCTGCTCATCATAACACGGCTTTTAGCCCTAATATAGAACATTGTAAAGTGTGGATTACATAAGTGTCTAAGAAATACTGAGCAAACATCCAAATTTATAGAATATCCACTTAAACTTCCATATGTTCTTACAGCAGTGGAGGAATCTGTATTGATGGTAGCAAGAAGAAAATTATTCTTATTCTTAAAAGGAAATAAAATACAAACTGACAGCAAACCTCATTCCTTACTAGCACTAATGATGTTACCTAGTTTGGGTAATAAAATGTCTGCAAGAAAACAAGCAAGCTCAGAGAGCACCAAGGACCTCTCATTTCAATCCTGAGCTACAAATATTCTCCTTTATTGGAAAATTATTCTTATCCTTTCTTTCCCCATAATAAAGCAAAGAGACAACTTTCCAGACAACTTTGTCTCCAGTTTCTCCTACAGTGCCAGTATTCCCTGCAAAAAAGTACGACAATGGCTATCCTGATCCCACTGAATTGATCCTCTGGAAGCTGAGGAAGTTTGTTCCATCCACTAACAGAAAAATTTGGCTGGCATCCTGTCTGATTAATACTGCTTATCACCATGTAAAACCTATAAAATATTGTCTGAAAAATATGAAATCCATTTTTCTTCAGTTAAACTCAAGATGGCTGACATAAATTTTCCTGTCAGGGTTTCAGGCATATCTGAAGAGACAGTTAAATAGAGGATATTGATTGTTACCTATTGCAATTTTTATTCTTGCCCCTTCTGAAATTGTCTGAGGGGTCACATAGTTCGTAGCAATTCAGTATTTTTGTATAAAAATAATTTGTTTATACGCTGTAGTTTAAAATATGATTTGTCTTCCATTTCCCAAAACTAGAAAACCAAATTAAATGAGTCAAAAATATACATAGCACCACTGTATCTTGAGGACAGCAAATTATGAAAAAGTAGAAATACACCGGTACTCAAATAAATTGACAAATTATTTGTCATATAATATACTTAACAGACCAAAAATGGCCATTTGTGTTAATGTCTGCAGTGAGTTAGATTAGATGTATGAAACCTCAATAATGCAGCTCTTCTATAAAACAGTATTTTGTTGTCATGTTTTGAAGTCTAAGACTTACCATATTCCAGAAGTTATAGAAAACCTAATGTGGGTTATGGTGTCATGGATACTATTTTATAAAACTATTGTACATATCAGTTTTTCCCTGTCTTCATACAAAATAGAGGATATGACGTATCTTCACAACTGCCTTTATAGTCTGTCTTCCTTAGTTAAATGGAAATACATGATGAGTTATACCCTCCGGCTTTTGAAATGCAGCATCACTTAATTTTTCCATTCCTATCTTCCCCTCCCACCCAAACACAACAGGTCTTCAAGGCTCTAGATATCTTTACAGAGAAAGCTGCAGTAGCTGTGGAATGGAGAGTAAATAAATACTGGTCCTCTGCCTGAGCAAAGTGCTATTATATGTAACCAATGACCTGAATAGCAAGTGAATTCTCAGAACATTTATTGTCATTAATTTGTGCTTTTCAAAATAGCATATTTATGTTATTGCATGAGTGTACTACATAGAAGGCTTATACAGTGTATCTTGATACTCAACTGCTTTGAAACTCATCAAATTTGGCACTCGACATATTGATGGGAAAATTTTGTCCCTGTATTCATTGATTGTTTGGTATTCAATGCATAAGCTAGAACTTAGTGTTGGCTGCCTTGTGACTCCCTACATTATTCCTTATAGGAAAAAATTGTTCGGTACTCATCGTTTTTGATACTCATTATATTCTCCCAGAACCAATTAATGATTAAGTACCAAGGTACCACTATTTGTATGTTTATTAAACTGATACAAATTATTACATTACTTTAAAAGATTACTTTAAACCAAAGCCAAGGACAGCAGTTCTGCATGAACAAGATGGACCAATGTACCTATTGCTGATTCATACTCTGACCACACATCTGATTTCCCTTAGTGACAAAATCTAACAGGCTGTATACATTTTAAGGCTATCCTTGGATGGTATTAGAAATATGTTAGCACTGCTACCATTAAAGATAACTTAGGTCCCATTAGTCTGAATGAGATATCATGGGGGGAATGACAGAATCTGCCAGCTTGACTTCAAATTGTAGTCAGGTATAATGAGGGAAAGGTCCCATAGGAATAAGAAGATGGAGCAGCCATAAAATGGGAACGCTGTAGCCAAATCATTATTTCTGCTCAGTTGGAGATGAAGGGATAGATGGAAAGTCAATCTTTCCTTATTTTCTGGTCCCAGTTTGACTAACACATCATTCTGGTTTTGATTGTCTTTGTTTTAATTAAAAATGAAATCCATTTTAAAATTTTTAAATTATTTTTAAAAAAGTGTTTCCATTGTGAGGAACACTGGTCAAATTGGTCAATAGTCAACCAAGTCTGGGTGACTTAGTGTATCATGTAAACAAGCTCAAAATATTCTGCTGTTGTGAATAAGTATAATTTGGACATTCTGTGTAGTTAGGACGGAATTCTTTCTAAGTTCCAGAAGCTATCATTTACTCATATCAGGTCCCCCAACTTCTATGCAGCTTCCATAGTCCAATTTCATTCAAAAATACATAGCTAATAGTTACATCTCACTTTATACTAAGCTATTTTTCATAGTTTGGCTGGAGTTACACATGCAAAGCATATCATAGCTCTGCACAATGAACAAACCTAGATTTTGTGATTTATAAGCCAAAGTTTACACTTACATTACTGGGTTGATCCAGCCAATAGTTGTTTATACAGTAGTATTTTAAAAAACAATTTTCATTTAGCATAATACTATATAAAAGTCTGAGAGTTCCCAAATGATGCTCCCAGGTATGAATTAAATGTTACAAATAATTGTGCTACAAGTTAATTCAGAAATAAGTCCCATCTCTTTAATGAAGTTTTCTATCAATGGTTAATTACTACTTGATAGTTGCCAGAATATCTGGCCCTCTTCCAGCCATTCTATTGCAATTTAGGAAGAGGTTGAGGCAGCAAGAAAAATAAAGGCTTCTCCACACGCAGCAAAGACAGTTCCAAAGCTGTTCCTGGTTTGTTAACCTTCACTGCCACTATTGTGCGGTTGCTATGAATTCTGGGGCCAGTCCTTCTGGGGATTTCCTTCATCTTTGTCAAGATCTCTCAAGGAACACAGCATAAAGATTAGTTCTGTGTTTGGATCACACATCTGTCCCAACCTTAGTGATGCAATTATATTTTTCATAATCCATTAAGGATTAGCACTTGTTTTAACCTTTTCAGCATAAGCCTATGAACCTAATGAACTTACTGTGAGGTCTGAGTTTGGCTGAGGTTAACGCTAGCGTTAAAGCTGACTGATCTACATGGCCTAAGTGTTTTTTCTTCGATCAGAGGAAAGTCCAGAATATCAAGAAACAGTCGCGGCATAAGTTGAAACTGAAGCGATTCCCACACTCCTATAACTAAATGCAGACTGAAAAGCTAGCATACTAGCATTTTGCGATCTTTCCGTAAGCACGGCCTTATTATGGCATTGGAACCAAACAAAATAATGCCTCGGGGAGAATAGATTAGGATTTTAGAAATTCAATTGCGATTCACGTAACTTTGGATAACTCGCTTGCCAAGGACTCAATCGAACTTCGCCGCAGCGGAAGTCCATCTTCCGAGCCGCATAATTTCCGACTACACTTCCCAGGATCCTCCGGGGCGTGCTGTCGCGAGGAGGCGTAGTTAAAGAACGGCGTCGTGGACGAGGCGGGGCTCAGTGCGAAGTTTCAGAACTCCGCGGCAGGGAGGCTCGGGAGCGGTTCTAACTGCTCCGTCCATCTCGACAGCCAGAAAGCCCATCAGCCATGTCCGATTCGGGCGGCGGCGGCGGCGGCGGAGGGGAGGACGGCGGCGGCCTGGAAGCGGCCGGCTCGACGGTGCAAAATGTGGCGGACGTGTCTGTGCTGCAGAAGCACCTGCGGAAGCTGGTGCCTCTTCTGCTGGAAGACGGTGGGGAGGCCCCGGCCGCCCTCGAAGCGGCGCTGGAGGAGAAGGGCGCCGTGGAACAGATGCGGAAGTTCCTCTCGGACCCGCAAATCCACGCAGTGCTGGTGGAGCGCTCCACCCTCAAGGGTGAGTCACCCACGGCGGGGCGGCCGCGCTTGCGCCCCGGGGTGCGCTCAGATGGGGCTGCAGAGGAGTTAGCTGGAAGCGGAGGAAAGAGCGATGGGCTGGGAGAGCGGCTCTCGCCCAGCGGTTAAGCCGCAGATGCGCGGGGGAGAAGGATGGAGAGGGTGTGGCCGCAGGCGGCGGCTGTCAAAATGGCGGCTCGTCTTGTTGCTCCTTTGTTTGCATTGTCGGCCGGGGCTGCCTCCACCCGGAGGACTCGATGTCAGCAGGCTTTCCCTTGAGAGGGTCCTGCGTAGTGTTGCTCCCCTTTAGTAGTGGCCGTCCGGCATTTTGCAGCCCGCATCCATTAGTTATAGAAGAAGCCTGTAGTCGCCCTGGCCCGAAAGAGTATCTTCTGCCTCTCCAGCCCCGACCTTGAAAGACTGGCGAAAGGGTGTGTGTGTCCTTAGTGTGTGGCTTTGTACCGCTCTATCTTGCAAATGCTGGCGATAATTGAATATTTGCCAGTGCCTTAAATGATGGAGCTTAGCTGACATAAACACGGCTGGCGCGAATCGGCCATGTTTGTTTTATCAATATTGTAAATCAGGTTTCATCTTTGGAGCACCAGATCCTAGCAAACTGATTTACCCGTCAGATCATTTGCGTCTCCAGTGTAGGCGTATATGCTCTGAATGGTACTGACCTTTTGCCATTTGCTCGCAATCCATGTCTTCTATGACTCCTAGTAAAGCATCATATATTGAAGTAAATTCTTTTCCCTGTAAATTTGAGGCATAAGCATCTGGGAAAGTTCTTTTGCTTTGTCAAAGCCTCAGACAAAGTGATCTGCCCCACTTTTAGGTGTGTCAAGGATTCTGCCTTCCTTGAATGCGGAATGAATGTAACTGATCATTGTGTGAGTACTTAAGATGCAAGAGAAAATTTAAAGTGGGCCATAGTACCTATTTGGAATGAACTTTTAACAAAAAAAAAAATGCTCAGCATTATACTGCACCCTGGCCTTACAGTGAGAATAGGATCATCAGATAGCTAGGAAATGAAACAATCAGATTTGCTTCATCAGTCTAATATGCTAGAATCAATAATTGACCCTTTCCACCTTAACACTTCAACTGATGAGTTGAAATATCTGTATTTTGCACAATAAACTCCATTATATATTGTTTGTATGCATTTTCATTGTAAATTATTTAATTACAAGATTAAGAAATATTTGGAAAAACATACTGCTTTCTTAATAACATTTTGCACTTCCTAATAAATACAAAAAGATTCTCAAGATGGAACACCTATAAGCCCCCATAGTATTATTGCAATTGCATGTGAACTTAGCAGTTTAAATGTATATTTCTATGGCTTACAGATAAATGTCTTTTAATTAAAAGTATATTACTATAGCATAAAAGCAAAAGTTTCTGTAAGTAAAATTCAGTTTCTTTGTCCAAACAATTATTGATTTTATAAAAGTAAGATTAGAAACAAAGAATATAAATCTAAAATCACACACTGTCACAGAACAGTATGAAAGGCTTGGTTGAAGAGATGAATTTTAACCTTTCTAAAAATGTAAACATGAATGCCCAAATACAGTTACTAATTGATTAAATTTGATAACTTGGGGGTGACAAGGAAGAATACCATCCAAATATCTGCAATTTCTTTAGGCAGTTTTAGAAGTAATTCAGGAGACTAATTGGAGACATTTCCTATGTAATATCAGAAGTAATCATTTGCAATACTTAAAATATTGATAGGTATTGTTGAAATTTCAGAAAGTAGTTAAGAATGTTTTTACTTTATATAAAAAACTAATTATTCCAGTACAGTAAACACATGCTTTCTTCTAAATGTTATTTGTGGTTGAAGAATTGTACAATGTTTGTAAGCATTCTCTATTCAATTCTACACACTGTTAATTCTCCAAAACTTCTAAATTAGTGGTAGGACTCATTTGTGACTAAGTATTTTTGAAAGGTATATTTGAATGTTTTCCGGATTGAATGGTAGATTCTTTTATGGTCTTTTACAAATAAAATAATTTTGATAAAGTTATTATAGACCGTGTAAATAGATTTACAGATTTGTTGGAACTATCTTGTGCACTACATTTTAAATCATGGTAATAATACAACTTGATTATTTGCCTCACTAAATCACCCTCCTTATTTCCAAAATCTGGGAATCGCTCTTTTTTGAGATGTGTTGTGCAGTAATTGCTAATATCACTTAAATGAGATCAACTAGTATTAAATGATAATCAAAATAGCACATTTTAGTTGATAATTCTGTTCATTATACACTGCCAAATAACTATACAAAAAGTCTAGACTTTTTTTGTAATTTAATAGATCCTTTGAATAAGGTAAGAATCATATCATGCAAATCTCTTAAATTTATCAAGCAAATCTAAATTGTATGCCCAAATTACTGACTTGAGATACAATACAATTTTGTAAAGTTTAAGCTGCAAGTTCTGATATATTCACTCAATATTTTATTTTCCAATGAGCAGTCGTGGTGGCTAACAAATATTTAAAAGGTGTTACACCAGTTAAAACCTGAAATAGTTTGTCAGTACTTAGAGAATTAGGCCAATCCTGAAACCCATAGTACCGTAGTTGTTTTCCTAATCTGGAAGCAATATCGGAAAAGGTCTTATCTTATAACTCAGATAGATGCAATTCTGATAGCAATATTTTAATGTCCACAAAGATTCATAATAGGAGATAGTGACTCAGATAATTAAGCTTAAACCATTTGGGGCACCTTAAATTATGACCAGTAAGCAATATTTCACTACAGTAGAGACTCATGTAATCCTTATTACAAGAATTAAACCAGTCTGCATTTTGCAGTTATTGCAGTTTTCTGAGACGTTTCAGGAGTATTCTGATACGGTGGGATTTTTGGGAAATTAATATTTCTTACCTGAATGACACCAAAATTTAATTCTCCTTTTTTTAATAAATTTCATCATTTTATTTCATTAAAAATAACTTGATTTAGAATAAACTATAAAGCAGAAATAATGCCAAGTTGGAGCATTTTAAAAAACAGATTGTTTTTAGAAAGTATGTCAATTTCTGATAAAAAGTGCATAAGATTTGAGCAGAATAATGGAGCATTTACTGGAGCATCTTTACTACCTGGAAAGGCTATGTCCCTGATCTTACATCTTGCAGGAACAGGTTTTTTTTTTCTTCTAAAACACAAAAATCTAGTAAACCTTGCTAAAAGTATTTTAGCTTTTTAATAAAAGAATAACAATATTTGTCAATTATGTCAACTGAATCCTTGATATTATGAAAAATGCTGAAAGTTCACTTAAGTATTTTTTTTCCTCTAGAGATGTATTGTTCAATCTCTTTGCTCTTTCTTTCTGTTTCCCCATTTGGGTGTGCCTTCCAGAGAGCAACGTCACTGCTGCATTGCAGTAGTGTCATTACTACAGCATTGTCAGCTAAGAAATTGATAATCAAATCCCATTTTCCTTAAGCCATGTTGGTTTCCTGTATGTTTATAAAGAATCCTCTAATATTTGAGAGAATTATAACTTTTAAGTAAATGTTATTTGCACTGAATCTTGACAAATTAGAATTAGAATTCTGCAGAAAACTATTTGTAAACTGTAAACTGGCTTAGTTCAGATACAAAAATGTTTAGAAAAAGACAATTTGTATAAAATAGTATAAACAATAGCAATAAACAATTCTAGCTTTAAGAATCTTCATTTCTGGAGCTTTGCCCACTCAACTCCCCAATCTCTTTAGCATTTTCTTTACACTTTCCTGAATTTAAACCAGTATAAGGCAAGGAACACTTGACTAAATGCAATTATTGAGGAATATATCTAAAAGATTTGAATTCTCCTTGACTAGATACTGCTTTATATAAGAGTAAGAGGAATCATTCAGTTATTTTTGCTCAACCATAATATATATTTTACTTTCATGCTTTTAAAAACTTTCACTTATTCATTTAGATCTTCCTAGGATAATTCCAGGAACAAAATATCAGTTAAAATTATTTTTTTAGAAGTCATGTACATATTTATACTTTCAGTCATTTTATTCAGAACTAATTTGTAAACCTTTTGAATAATTTATTGCAAGATAAAGTTAGGATAATACAAGACAAAATGGCAGTATATTGCAGAATATTTCTTGATACTGCAACTTCATCCAGATCTATTAGCAGTATGTTAAATTTGCATATTACTGTTGGTAATTAGAATACATTTTGGATGATTCTAGGCATGGACTTGTTTATTTTTCATTCTTTTTAATAAAATTGTGATTTAGAATGGAATAAATGATAAAGAACTCGAGTTGACTAATGACAATAAAATAAAACATTTCTGTATGTGTGAAACAAAACAAAAGAATGTAGTTTATCTGAATGATGATGTGGTGAACTATAGCAGTGGTGGCAAACCTATGGCACGGGTGCCAGAGGCGGCACTCAGAGCGCTCTCTGTGGGCACCCGCGCCATCGCCCCAGTCCTAGGCCTTCAGCTGGGTTTTATAAAACCTTTTTGCTTTAGGCCTCCGCCGCCGTATGAAAAAAAAAAGTTCAATCAATCAGTCAATTTCAACTTCTCGCGGGAAAAAAAAGATCTTGCAAAGTTGGAATTGATTGATTGAACTTTTTAGTCCCAACCAGTCTGCTGTTACCACTGCAGCCATGCCCAACCAATTGGCCACACCCAGCCAATGGGCTACACCCACCTGGCACCCAACGATGCATAAGTGGATTGTGGGTTGCGGTTTGGGCACTCGGTCTGTAAAAGGTTCGCCATCACTGAACTATAGTAATGCAGCAGATTTCCAGGAAGAATGAAGCATATTCCAAGGAGTTGGGTGAGACAAGAAACAGCATAGTCCACAGATGGGTTGTGGAAAAGGAAGAGATTTAGGGTAGCCACTTCCTAGACTCACCTTAGGTATATAGGTAGTCCTAGACTTACAACCATTTGTATGGTGGCCATTTGAAGTTACAAAGGCACTGAAAAAAATGACTTATGACCAGTTTTCACACTTACAACCATTGCAGCATCCCCATGGTCATATGATCAAAATTTGGACACTTCACAACTAGCATGTACTTATGTTCCACTGTCCTGGAGTTATGTAGTCACCATCTGTAATCTTCCCAGGCTTCCAACAAGCAAAGTCAATGGGGAAACCCAGATTCACTTAACAACCACATGATTTACTTAACAACTGCAGTGATTCATTTAAAAATGTGGCAAAAAACTCTTGCTTAGCAACAGAAATTTTGGGCTCAATTGTGATCATAAGGATGCATTAGGTTAGGGCAGGGGTAGGCAACCTCGGCTCTTTTATGACTCATGGACTTCAACTCAGCATAGCTGACTCAGGAATTCTGGGAGTTGAAGTCCATGAGTCATAAAAGAGCCGAGGTTGCCTACCCCTGGGTTAGGGTAATATAAGTGTAACATAGCAAGATTCTGTTAATGTGGTGTAAGCAAATAAAAAACTGAACTTGTTATGTTATTCTTGGACAAGATCTGACAGATTGAGTTCAGTTGATAAATACATGCAAGGAAGTAGAGATGTAAGTGTAATTGTGAATCAAAATGTGGTAGAATGTAGCTTGCATTCCCAGGAGGAAGGGGATGCTTTCTAGAGACAATAGAGCTTAGAAAGTATGATCAACAGGTTAGAAGATTAAAATTACTCCTTCCTAGCTATTCTCAGAGTATATCTATAGTTATACTTTAGATTCTGTCTATAAGTGAAGAACAATAAACTGCTCTCAAATTACTCCATGTATCATTCTTGGTGCCTGTCAGAAAAGGTTAAACTGGATATCAACAATTATGAATTGGTAGTTCTGAAGAATTTTGAATTAAGCATGGGAGAGATAAAAAAAAATTAGTCTTCAGTATTGAAGAGACCATATGACCCCAAGTTTGCAGTTTTAAATTACTGATACTTGCTTTCTGTGTATGAGGTAATGGAAAGTGTTATTTTGTGCAGCCGGTGTTTAATGATCTATTTTAAAAATCACATGACTTCCTGTATTTTTTTCCTAATATTTCCCTTTGACCTTTTTTTTGTTTTTCATATATCAAAACAAAAATGTATTAGTGTAGAAACTGATGCTAGTAAGGTTTCTTAATTCTTTGCAGAGGATGTTGGTGATGAAGGAGAGGAAGAAAAAGAATTTATTTCTTATGGAATAAGCACTGATATTCATTATGGTATAAAATCAAACAGGTGAGTCAAGATAAGTCCTGTACTATGCTGGTCAGTGTGAGTCTGTGCCTTTCAATATGTCTAACATATATATCTACTTGAAAATGACAAATTAGTATTCGATGCAGATCATAAATAAAATGGAATTAAATTAAAAAGGCAGAATTTCTGTTAGTCAATTAAAAGACAAATTAGAAAGCAGGATTATTCTACTCCCCTCCCCTTTGAAGAGGGAACTTTACAGGTTGGTTGTACTCTCATCATTTAGCCTTAAATTTAGATTCCTCATGCCAGTATTGTAGTTAGATGATTCACCAACATCAATTCTATGAAGCATACCTCACTTTCTGACACAAAGATATTGAAAATGCCAATCATGATATGTGTCATATGAGTAGTGATCTTAATTTCCCATAAGGTCTGAATTGAAAAAAGATCTGGGTAAGCATTCTGCAATCAGAGACTACACTTATTTAGCTTTTTTTTTTTTTTTTTTTGGTCATGTAGGGAATTTATATAGTCATTGGAAAGNTTTTTTTTTTTTTTTTTTTTTTTTTTTTGGTCATGTAGGGAATTTATATAGTCATTGGAAAGAATATTAGTCAGGATGCTTAATCCCCTCCTTTTTTAACGGGAAGTAATTGCTTAGTAAAACTGTTAAGCAGATCAAAGATTTATATAATTAATTAAAGGTTTGGTTTTTCTCAATAGTGGAAAATTCACAATTTACCAATAATTTGATACTGAATTGTGCTATTATCTTAGGTTGCAGCACATTGTCTGGTCCTTTCTTGTCTGGCCCTGGTTTAAATACTCTTAATAGTTTAATTTTTGTGTCCAGACTACCAAAAAATACTATGGTTCTAGGCTAGAAGGCAAGTCAAAACCTCCCCAGAAGAAGGCAGTGACAAACCATTTCTATATTATGGCCAAGAAAACTGCATGAACCTGTTCATGGAGTCAGTAGGATTGAGCATGGATTCAAGGATAAGTTACTTATCATCAGGAAAAATTCTGTTATTAGACATGTGGTTTTTCAAGTAATTTGGTAGGATTTTATTGTTTTAGTTTTGTTGAATGTCACAGTCGCTTGCTTGTGAGCTGGGCAGCTATATAAATTAGATGATTGACATAGATGATAGGTAGGTAGGTAGGTAGGTAGGTAGGTAGGTAGATAGATAGATAGATAGATAGATAGATAGATAGATAGATAGATAGATAGATAGATAATATAAAAATAGGTTTTTAATTAGATGTTTTTATTCTGTGACACTATAGAAGTATTTAACCAATATTTAGGTTTTGATAATGTTTCTATTTACTATTGTTATTAGCTAGTTGAATTCATGTTTGAAGTGGAAATAAGATACAAATTTAACAAAAATTAAAACTGCCTAGAACTTGAATGTCCTCATGTTAAACTGAGTAAATGCTTAATTTTTTATTTTTTATTTTGTAATCTATAGTTTGGCTTTTATTAAGCGAGCACCAGTAATTGATGCAGACAAGCCTGTGTCATCCCAGCTCAGAGTTCTCACTCTCAGTGAAGATTCTCCTTATGAAACGTTGCATTCCTTCATTAGCAATGCTGTTGCTCCGTTCTTTAAGTCCTACATCAGAGAATCCGGCAAGGCAGACAGGTAACTACTGGAGTTGGTACAATTTGTATGAGTGAATTAAAAAAAAAGAAATATGGGAAGATATGTGGAAAATTATTGATAGTCAACATTCTAACTGTTAAAAGACATTTTAAGATTTTTTTGAAAGATTGAAGCTTTCAAGCTCCATTTGATGCTGCTCCCATGGGTCCTTATAGGAAAGAGGCAACTTTCTGAAATGTGTGATTCCCTGTGTAAACTTTGTAACAACAGCTAAATTGTGTGGCACATCTCATTCTTTTATCAAGTTTATTTTAAATTGTGGTAATATCTTACCCTACGTTTGTGTTGGTGGGCAACATACTCTGGATTGCATGCATATGTATTGTAAATGTCTTAATTACATATGTAGATTTTTATTTGGCTTATTTTTGTATTTCTCCTAAGGGATGGGGATAAAATGGCTCCCTCAGTTGAGAAAAAAATTGCAGAACTTGAAATGGGACTTCTGCATTTGCAGCAGAATATTGAAATACCAGAGATTAGTTTACCAATTCATCCAATTATCACTAATGTTGCTAAGCAGTGCTATGAACGTGGAGAAAAGCCAAAGGTTACAGATTTTGGTGATAAAGTTGAAGACCCAACTTTTCTCAACCAACTACAATCTGGAGTTAACCGCTGGATTAGAGAAATCCAAAAGGTAAATTGAGAAATGTATTATTATTGTTATATATGTATAAAAATGTGAAATCACAGTTGCTATTTCTTTAGCTGGTGATGGTCTTCATACTCATTGACTTTTTCCCAAGAACCTAGGATATCATAATATATTAGT